CTTCTCCAGCCAATCACAAGCCCTGTCTTGGCTGCCTCGTAGTTGTATCGGCAGAAACGATTCACTTCAGCCCTCGCAACCTGCAGCATGTCCTGGCGGGTGTTCCAATAGTCAGCCTGCCCCAACGGGGTGATGGACACGAACTCCCCGAGGTCACTGTCGAAGCGGTCAATCTCCTGCCGGTCGTAGAAGAACCTCTTCAGGTAGCGCACCCGCTGCGTCCCGTTGAGGAAGTGGCAGTCGAGCTTTGCCTGACACAAGAAATGGGCTGCGAGGAGGAGGGGGAGGAGGAGGAGGGCCGTCAGGAGGGAATCCAGGGCCCATCGCTCCCAGCAGCCAGTAGAGGAGAGACCCATGCGGGAAGGGGGAGACCTGCTGCGGGAGACTGAGGACTGGCCTTTGGAGGGTCCAGCTGGAAAGGGAACCCAGGGGGGCCTTTGCCAGCCCCCCTCCCCTTCCTTGCTGGGGCTCCCTGGGGGGAGATGCGGGGGGCCTGCTGAAAGACCCCTGGCCCAATCCACTCCATGCCCTACCGTTGGGGGTGCGGGGAGGAAGGGCCCCAATCCGCCCCAAGTGGGAGAAGCTCCAACGCCTTCCTTTAGCAACAGTGGCCAACCTCACAGGGCTGTGGCTCCATCAAGATGCCCCCTGGAGGAGGGAGGGGAAGGTTTGTCGGTCCCTGTGGGGCTCCCTGGGGGAGATGGAGAGTTGCTGCGGGTCTGGACGGGGGAGGAAAGAGGGGGAGGGGAAGAGCTTCCTGGTGGGCCCCTTCCATCCTCCACCCTGGAGAAAGGCAGGCAGAAGCTCAACTGGTGCAGCAAACTGCCCGGCTCTCTGCAGGGAATGTTGGATCCTGGTGGGGCCTCTTTGCCCCACAAAGTGGCAGGAAATATGGGGGGAGGGGGGTGAAGAGACCCAGAAACTCTCAAGTCTGCAGTGAAAGGAAGTTCCATACCTCGGTCTCCCTCTTCCTTGGGGGGGAGATATGGGAAGGGGGCACAATGAGGGTGTCTGTACTGATGATCCTGGGGTCTCCCAGCCCTTCCCCACCTGAACCCCCCACCTTCCCTGGTTTCCCCAAACTTCTCCCCCCTTCCACCTGCCTTTCCTCAAGAGCCCCCAGGAGCAATTCAAAGGGGGGGGTCTCCAGTCTCCTTCCCCCCACATCCTTCCTCGTCAGTTCCCCCCATGGTTCCCCCTCCCCTCCAGTCCCTGACTCCGCTATGGGAAATTATGGGGGGGGGGCTTCTTTCCCAATTCAGAGGCTTCCCCAACAAGGGATCTAAATTCAACTCTTGCCTGATCTTAAAAGCCTCTAAGTGGAGATTCGTAAAAAAAAGTGAAGTTTCTGAAGTTGCAAAATGGTTTTTTTCCAAATGCATCTTTTTCTTGTACGGCTTTTCGTTGCGTGGATTTGGGAATGAAAACGCCGCAATTTCCCGTTTCCTCTTTCCTTCTTCTTCCTTTAACGCGACAAACTCTGGGGTCTCCGGATCCGGGTCTAATTCGGGGCCAGAAGGTCCGACTCTTATCCCGGATCGGCTGCCTTCCCATGACCCCTCTTCCCACCTCGGCCCCAGCCAGGGAAGGGGGGTCCCTCTCAGTCCTCCTGGGGAGATGCGAGGAGGGAGGGGGCAGGCTCCTGCAGACTCCCCCCTCTCTTGCCCTCAACCCCTTCCCCAAAGTCACTCCTGAGGGTCCCAGCCCTTTTCTTCCCCCTCCCCCCACCAGCATCATGGGGTCCACCCCAGCCCCCCTTCTTTCCCGGGCCCCCTC